CCTCAGCAATAAAACACATTAAATACATATTAACACCACAGGACATCCTTTTGCCCCAACCAGTTAACGGCTGAAGCCTTGATTCAATATGAAGGTATTTGCTTGCTGGCAAAAAGAGAACAGAGAAGGAGCCAATTGAGTTTTCCTTGAAAGAGAATTCCATAGCATAGGAGCAGACACTGAAATGGTTTTCTCCCATGTCCTTACCAGATAAGCCCATGAAGCCGGTGGGAAAGAATGAAAGCCATTCCCAAGATCAGGCAGGTCATATGTGGTAATTGGTTTCACTTCAACTGATGGAGTATTGTATGTTGCTTGTTGATGTGTGCCTTCAAGTCATTTCTGATTTCTGATGACTCAGAGGCAAACTTATCATGGGGGTTTCTTGGCAAGATTTGTTCAGAGGAGGCTTGGCATTGCCTTCTGCTGAAGATGACAGGTGCTAAAATTTGCCTAGTGGTTTCCATAGCCAAATCGAGATTCAAAGTCTATTCTCTGAGAGTTGGAGTCCAACACACAACCACTACACTACACCTATGCAACCAACTCGTGTTCTGGCACTTCCTCATCATTTATTGCATTAAAAGTAAGCCACATTGAATTCAATGGAACTTTCTTCTAATGAGATGTATTCAGGATTGCAGTGTAAGCACTGGGGCTGCTGCCACACTGCAAAAATAAAGCAGTTGGACACTGCTTTAACTTCCATGGCTCAATGCTATGAAATCTTGGGATTTGTAGTTTGGTGGGGGATGCAGTGCCTCAAGTGATTAAGACGCTGACTCTGTTGATTGCACGATTGGCAGGTTGGCAGTTCAAGGCCCTAGTGCTGCATGATGGGGTAAGCTCCGGTCACTAGTTTCAGCTTCTGCCAACCTAGCAGTTTGAAAGCATGCAAATGCAAGTAGATAGATAGGTACCACTTCAGTGGGAAGGTAAACAGTGTTCTGTACAATCATGTTGCCACATGATCACAGAGTAGTCTCTGACAATGCTGGCTCTTCAGCTTAGTAATGGAGATGAGCACCGCCTCCTATGGTCAGACACGACTTGATAACCTTGTCAACGGGGAACACCTTTACCTTTACCTAGTTTGGTGGGATGCCAGCTTTAGGTCCCAGTCTGGAAGAAAACAGAAGACCCATGTGGTGTAGAAGTTTGCATGTTGGAGTAGGACTCCAGAGCTCAGGTTTCAAATCCCAGCTCAGCCAGGTAAACTCACTGGGTGACCTTAGGTAAGTCACATTCTCTCAGTCTCATAGGATGGTAATGGCAAACCTCCTCTGAGGAAACTTGCCAAGAAAATCCTGTGAAAAGGTCACCTTAGGGTTGTTATAAGTCAGAAATGACTTGAAGACACACAACAACAAACAACAGAGGCACCAGAATTTTCTGACAGGTAAGGCTAAACATCTCACAAAGCTCCAAATGCCAGAATTCCACAGAAGTTAAAGTGGTATGAAACTGCTTTATTTCTACAATGTGGCAGCAATTTGAGTAGTGTGTGTGTGTGTGTGTGTGTGTGTAGAGTAAATCTCTACCACTTTCTTGCATAGGTGTAATCTGTTACACCATAATGTATGTGATCCAGAGAAAACTAGGGCAGCTATTATATATACTATATTTTTTTTCAGTGTCATAGGCTACATCCTCACTGCAGAAATAATCCAGTTTGACACCATTTTCACTGCCATGGTTAAATGATGTGGAATTCTGGGAATTGTGGTTTTGCGAGATATTTCACCTTCTTTGTCAGAGAGCTCTGGTGCCACAACAAACTACAATTCCCAGGTTTCCATAGCATGGAACAATGATGGTAAAAGTGGCCTCAAGCTACATTCTTTCTGCAGTGCAGATGCAGCCCTAGTCAGAACAGTTAAAAAAAACAACAACCACATAAATATTATGATAATTCCACACTCATGCAGTTCCACACTCCAGGTCCATAAACTGAAAGACAATAAGCCTTGAGACTTTCATACACTCACAGTCTCAAGGGCTAATCAATGTTGCTTAAGATAAAAGACAAGATGCCTGCTAACTTCTTCCATATAGCATGTAAAATGGAAGGCACTGGAGGTTTGAGTGGTCTGCTTTTATTCTTTAAATGCAATATATTCCTATTCTTTAACATGAAGGCCACATTTCCAAAATTTAAAAATGGCAGGAAAGCTACCATATATATTCAGCAAGTTGCATATATCCAGCAAATAGCCAGTCTCTGTTCATACTTTTTTTGGAGGGGGGGCAGATTTAAGTGTTCTTTAGACACATTGATTTGTAAATCATAGCAAGAGCAACACTATATCTTCAAAACTGATAATATCCAATAAACTGTTCTAGTGCCTCTTTCCCAATACTCTGTTTCGTTTTCCACTCTCAACTTTTTTCCCATTCTCCACCCAAATACTGGTATGTATTTATTAGTATTCCATGGTTACTGAGCATGCTCAGGCATCACTACACTTTTATGACAGCAATAGATGGGCAAAGGATCTAATGGTCACAGAATACCTCAAGCTAAACATGAGTCACTAGTGTGATTCAACAGTATAAAGGCAATGCAATTCTAGTGTCTTGATCACAGGAAGCAATAAACTAGCATTCATTTTTACTATGATCAGACTTCATTTGAAATACTCTTATCAGTTCTGGGCACTACATTTTGAAAAGGATATGACAAGCTGGAAACCAAGAGCTGTGAGGAACGGTTGAGGGAGCTGGATGTGGTGAGCCTGAAGAAGAAAAGGTTGAGAGGAGATATTAAATATCTAAAGGGCTGTCAGGTGGAAGATGGTGGAAGCTTGAACCAAGACATTCAAAGTACAAGAAAGGTGATTCTGACTAAACTAGGCAATGCGCTTGTTTAAATTATTCATTCCCACCATGGAGGTGGCACCTAATCAGAGATCGGTGAGCCTCCTTGCTTAGTTTTCCTTCCCTTACTGCACACTTGGCTAAGTCTGGTCAGAGGGAGGAGGTAGCAGCTGAGGGACTAGGCTCCTTTATATTTGGCCAAATGGTGACTTTATACCTCTGCCAACTATTCCTCCTTGCCTCCTCCTCATCCACACAGCCATGTAATTGCTGCACAGTAGGAAGCGACAAGGGGCAGCTGAGCTAGGAGGATCGCCCATCATAGCCAGCATGCACCAAGGCTGACACCCACTAGGATCTGCCCAAGTTCCTCCAGAGATACTTCAGGATAATGTCATTGTGGTGTAGGGGCTATACCGGCAGCAATCCTCCTTGCTCATGTGCCCCTGCCCTTCTTCCAGCTACTACATGGCCATCTAGAGAGGGGCCAGGGCCAGGAACAGAGTGAACCTGGGCTGCTGGGGGGCAAAAATAGTCCTCATGTCTATTTGAAGACTGAGGGGAAAACAAGAAGGGGGCTTAGGACGATTCTCCTTGTTTGAGTTTCTAGAGACTCAAGAAGCACTTTTCTATTATTATTTTTTCTTGAGTCTTTGGATATACTTTCCATTGATAGACTAAGGGGGGAAGCAGACCAGGGCGTCCAGGACGCCCTGGGACAGTGCGCCGTGGGACCGCGGCATCTGCACCGCAGCGCACCGGCATCCCTGAAAGGAGCGCTAAACGCGTAGGGCGCACTTTCCCTGACTTTTCCGCCGCAGCATGTGCAGATGCTGCGGCAGGAGGTTGCCCCCAGAGCGCCGGCCGTGAGGAGGGCCGGCAGCTCCGAGGGCAACCTCAGGAGGAGGAAGGGGCACCGATCATGCGGCTGCTCCTCCTCTTCCCTGCCTCGGAGATGACCCTATTAGTCGTCTGCTGAGGCCCTAAGGGCCTTTGCAGACTGCCAGAAATAGTGCAAATTGAGTCCACTTTAAGGGTTAGGGTTAGAGTTAGGGTTAGGGAATCATGGGAACTTACACCAGCATCCTGGCACAGATGGCCCTTGGGATCCCTTTAAACTCACAGCACAGTCTATTACAGTCCATGAAAGCTTATGTCAAATAAAACCTGTTAGTTTTCCTGGCATGCATCATTGTATGTTGAAGGGAATGTAGTATTATTTAATGCAGGGATGGGCAAAAGATAGATTGGGATCTATTAGTACCAGTCTGGCTGACTTGCAATAGATCAGACAAGGATTTCCTCTCCTCTGCTTTGAATTGGAGAGCTAAAATGAAAAAAGCTTGGGGATGTTGGTTGCGACCATGACCAAACTGGTTGTAAAAAGGCTGTGAGCTGCATTCCTTTTGGTACTAAGAACCAATTGCTGAGTTCAGGAGATTTAATTCAAGGTAACTTGTGTTTGTTTGTTTTTAAAAAATAGAAATAGTTTACATTTCTATTAACAGTTTTTTTTTGGTAATGTGCCTTTAAAATGTTGTATGCCACCTTGATTCCCCTGCTGGAAGAAAGTGAGGTATTAACTAACTACTAACCAATTAAATAAAATTCAAAGTACAGGACTTTGGCACCAGACTCCAGCTGGTAAATTTAAACTTCTGGCATTAAAACAAAAGGTATCCTGCACACATCCTGGTTCACCAAGTGAATGCATTATAACATTCTTGTACTCACTGATGCATGTACAGTCATTCTAATATAGACTGTGTAAACTAGTATCAGCATGCACGTTTTTTGTAGGATATCCAGCCTATGTTAACAGATTTAAAAGTCTTAAACTAGGTGGGCTTAAGTGTGGGCATTGTGCAGCCCTCCAGATGTTACTGTACTGCAGCTCCCAACATTCCTCACCACTGGCTATGTTGACTAGGATGCCTGGGAGTTTCAGTCCCTCAAGATCTGGAGGGTTGCAAGACGCCTCTTTAAGCAGCTGGGAGTTTTCAAGGGTGATACAGGATAGTAGGAAACAGACTGCAGGATACTGTACTTGAAACGTATGTTTATCCACCTATAATGTTGTTGTTGTTGTGTGTCTTCAAATCGTTTCCAACTTATGGTGACCCTAAGGTGGACCTTATCATGGAGTTTTCTGAGACAGAGAGGACTCACCTAAGGTCACCCTTGGCCAAGTGGGGAATCGAACCCTGGTCTCCAGAGTTGTAGTCCAACGCTCCAACCACTACACCAAAATGGCTCCTCAGCAGTAGCATAGCCCAAGCGTATGGTGAAATTCTTGGAGTCATGTAGAAGTGTGGGGCAATGACTGGTTTATGCCAGTATAAAATGGTTAAACCAAGGTCAATGACAATCTTTGACTTTTTGATTCAGTGCCTCCCCAAGTGTGTTTACTTCTCCAAATCTGGCAGGAAGGAAGGCTGTTAGAGCACAAAGCTTGTTCCAGTAGGTTCGCCTTCATGTAGCCTGAGGTTGTCGGATACAGGAACTGATGTTTCAGGATGTCCAGTGTGGAGTGCCCCCTTTTCATTATTACTTCATGCATGAGACACTATTGTTTTCATCACTTGGTATTGTTCTCATTAGGCATTTCGCTATTTTCCCAGAGACTGAAAACAAACACAGTCTTTATGCTGTGCTGACCTTTTCACAAGGAAGGCACTCTCTCTTTTAAAACTATTTTGGAGAACTCTCTCAAACAGTCATTTCTTAAGACAATTCTCTCAAGTAAATGTAAGACTACTGAACCTTTTCAAACAGATGCTGCAATTAAAGCTGATATTTTAGGATTGCTTCTTAGGGCACCTTTTTCTCTCCTGCACTTTTCTAAAAAATAAGGAGTCTTCCATCCTCCTGTGAGTTGTGATGCATACTGTAATAAATAAGGTGGTGTGTACATCTTTCCCAGCAAAGGAGCATGTTTCTACAGAATTTTACATTCAGGCTCAATCCCATGCATGAATACTTTGGTATCTAAATGTTTATAATCCCACCTTGTATCCTATGATCGGTATAACCAATTTATACAATGTAAAACAGTAAGAAATGATTTAAACAGACTGTTTAAGAAACATTTAAGGAAGTTGACAAGTTAAAACAAGACCATTAAAATTTGTTAAAATGTCAGAAAGAAACTCTTCTAGAACATGGCCACACAGCCCGAAAAAACCTACAAAAAAACTTTGTTAAAACAGTTTAAAACCATTAACCTGTGTGTATATTGGATGAAACCCATTAGGCCCCAAAGATTTAAATAAGATGCACCATTTTTACTTTGCATTAGAATGATATCAGCATTCTTGCCAATCTTTCTTGTAAGGAAAAGTTATTCAATTTTTCTTGGGGTGAAGCTAAATCCCTATACATGGAGTCAGTTCCATAGAATTCAATGGGATTTTCCTCTGAGCAGACATGCCTAGCCCCAGGTTGCAAACCAAACCAAAAGATGTTTATAGTTTCTAAATAACAAATCTATCTCAAAAAGGGAGTGTTTATAATTACATTTGTAGTTAAAAAAATCAGGATGCTATTGATAACCATGATCTGTCAGTTTTATTATGCTGTAAAAAAATCCCATTGTTATTGTATTCTATCTTGTTTTAAAATATCTGCCTCTTTCCAAGACTCCAGACATGGCAAATGTGTTGGGAGGCTTGTTGCTGTTATTCTTGGATTTTTTAAAAAATATATCCAAATAGCATATCTGTTGTCCCAGACTATTTTTTGGCAATTCCCAGCACCAGCTGCAACATTTTATTCCTCTGTTTCCTTTCAGTTCTTAGACAAAGGGCCTTTGCAGACTGCCAGAAATAGTGCACTTTAAATTGAGGCACTGCCCTGGCTCAGTGCTAGGGAATCATGGGAATTGCATTTTTTTTCTGAGACATTGAGCCTTCTCTGTCAGAGAGCTCTGGTGCCACAATAAAATACAGTTCCCATGATTCCCTAGCACTGAGCCAGGGCAGTGCCTCAATTTAAAGTGCACTATTTCTGGCAGTCTGCAAAGGCCCATATTACAATATTATGTTCCCTTCTCCTCTCCTCTATCGGTATCATCACCATCAGTGAAATGATACTATTGCACTACAGCATTGTAACCAAATACACACACAAACACACACACACACACACACACACACACATATATATATATATATATATATATATATATATATATATATATATCTACAGCCAGCATGGCATAGTGGTTTGAATATTGGACTACTCTGGAAGACCAGTGTGTGATTCCCAGTTTGGTCATAAAACCTACTGGGTGACCTTAGGCAAGTCACACGCTCTCAGCCTCAGGAGAGGGCAATGGTAAACCTCCCCTAAACAAATCTTGACAACAAAATGACATGATAGGTTTGCTTTAGGGTTAACACAAGTTGGAAATGACTTGAAAGAATGCATCAGCAACAAATATGTATGTATGCATGTATGTATGTGTGTGTATCACAAAATGGAGAAAATTTGCCTTCAAAAATAGGACTACCACAGAGAACAATGGGATATCAGATTTATTTTTTAAAATACCTTTGCAATATTCCTAGAAGTCATTACTAACAGTCTCCAAAAGGAATGAAATGAGTATACATGATGATGAAAACCAGGAAACTTAGCAATAGTCAAGTGGCTGTATTGTGAAAAATCATGTTTCTTCAGATCAGTTTGGAAGAGTCTCTAATAGTATACATTGTCCTGAAAGCTACAGACTCTGGCTGCTGAGGAATTAATACAGCTTGACACTGTTTTATTCTATAGAATCCTGGGATTTGTAGTTTGTTGTGGCACCAGAGCTCTCTGACAGAGAAGGCAAAATGTCTCACAAAACTACAATTCCCAGAATTCAATAGCATTGAACCATGGCAGTTAAAGTGGTGTCAAACTGAATTAATTCTTCAGCCTAAGATACAGACCATGAGAACCTGTTTAAATGTTGTAAGAAGATATCACCAGAAAAGATAGCTCTACTGCTATTTATTTTCCCACAGATATGGGCACAGTAGTGCTCTACTGAATGTGTTTAGCACTGGATACAACAGAGTTTGCAATGTTTGCCTTGTGCATCTGGACCAAGGGCTGAACATTTCAGCTATGCTATCCATACTTCAAAGGCTACTGTTTGTTCACGGCTTCAGATAACCATTTATATTCTGCACTCAGCTGGAGCAAGCGTATTATTCAGATTAAAATTTCAAGGACTCTTAAAGTGGATCATCAAGCCTTTGATCCTATTCAGAGGAATCATTCCAGGGGTCAGCATGAAAAGAACATTTACTGGTGGCTTGATAATTGACCCCCCATTAGTTGAGAGTCATTTGTTGGAAAAAATTGTCTTTTTGGACTACATTTTCCAGAATCTTACAGCTGAGGAATTCTGGGAGCTATTGTCAAAAAGTAATTTTTCCATGCTCTGTTGAAAGGTCCCAAAAAAGGTGATTCACTATTTTTTAAGGAACAGACTAAATAGATGTTACAAAAAAAGGCGGGATCACTGTTTGAAAGCTATTCCCGCCTTCACTTTACTCTGTCGGCCGGAATGGATTGGAGAGCACACAATCCATTTCACAGAACCTTATCTTGCTCCTCTGTAATGCCAGGTCGGTGAAAAACAAGAGCTAAATCATCTATGATCTTCTTCTAGATGAAGATGCTGACCTGGCTTGACTTACAGAGACCTGGATGGGAGAAGGCAATGCTATAACTTGGGCACAAGCCCTCCCAGCTGGGTATTCTGTCATTGAGCAGGTAAGGGGAAGTGGGTGGGGAGGAGGAGTGGCTCTCGTTTATAAGAATAATTTGACCTTGACCAGGATACCTGTCCGGAACACAGTTCACTTTGAGTGTATGTACCTGAGTCTGAGGACCAAGGATAGTTTGGGGATTCTTCTAGTATACCGACCACTCTGTTGTCTAGCAGACTCCCTATCCGACACAGCTGGTCTCTGAGTTGTTGCTGGAGTCGCCCAGGCTTCTAGTCCTGGGTGACTTCAAGATTCCACTTGAGACGAGTTTGTCAAATCTAATAGGTGCGGGTCAGGAGTTCATGGAATCCATGACAAACATGGGCCTATCCCAATTGGTCGTCGGGCCCACTCATTGTGCAGGTCATACCCTCGATGTGGTCTTTAGTACGAAACAAGAATATCCATGGGCGGAGGTAATAAAAACCTCCACATTGTCATGGATG